TATAATATAATAGTACACTTTAGAAGTTTCAAGTACCCACGAATAATATTATTCAATCACAACAAAATAACTAAAATCGTAATTCTTGGTTTAAATATGAAATTTTGTCTAAATTTGAAATTAAAATGTCTGTAAAAAATAAGTGTGTTTATATATTTTTTAGATTTTTTGGTTACATTATGAATTATTTAAGAGAATCTTTGTTTTAATTTTTCAACTCTTAGTTATAAAAACTGAACATTTTATAATTTTTTAATTCCAACGATTGATAATTTTCGAGATTTTGATAAATTTTGTCAAAATTCGATGTTTAAATTCTTATAAAAAAAAATTGTGCCTATGTATTTTTAATATTTTTCAACTGATATTGTAACAATATATCAGGAGCCTTGTATTACATTTTTACACTTTTTGGCCCAACAGATAATACTTTATTGATATTTATAGAAAAAAAAACTAAAAAAAATTGAAATCTGTAAATGTCCATAAACAGCTCAAAAAGAGTCAAAATATTTTCAAAATTGTATGGTGTATAGGAAATGCTAATATAAACATTCAGTGAAAATTTCATGTGTCTACAGTTATTCGTTTTTGAATTACAACAAAATAAGGAAATCGCTACATGAGAAATCGAGTGAACATCCAATGTTGTAAAAATTTGAATTTCAAACGCTCATAAAAATTTAATTTGACATTCCGTTAGAGATTTTTTATTGATAAAGGTAGACAAACTTATGAGTAATCTTGTATTACATTTTCAAATCTTAGATTTAAAAAGAAAAATTTTTACGAATTCTTAACTCAAAATAATTCGCTAATTTTCGTGATTTTTCCATATTTTTACAATTTTTGAACTTTAAATGCCTATAAAAAAATTGTGACTAAGGATTTTTAATATTTTTCATCTGCCTTTGAAACAATATATTAGGAGCCTTCTATTAAATTTTCAAGCTTTCGCAACCAACAAATAAAATTTTATTGATATTTCTAGAAAAAAAAAAATGAAAAATGAATATGTCCCTTAACTGTTCAAAATAAATCAAAATATTTTGAAAATGTTATCGTGTATAGAAAATGCAAATATAAATAACCAGTGAAAATTTCATGTATCTACGGTCATTTGTTTTAAAGTTACACCAAAAACCATATTCAATTTTCTGAAAAATCGATTTTGAGTAAAAATTCCTGTTTTTACTTAATTTTTCTTTTGTTTATCTTGGCGCTTTTGAAAAGTACTGGGAATTTTAAATTTTGACCTCCCCAATGCACCAACGATATTCACTTTCCAATCGAACAAGATACTGAAGTCGAAAATCGAAGCATTATTTCGACTACTTATCGTGTACACAGATACAAAAAAAATTAAAAAAAAGGTGGGCAAGTGGGTGTCGCTCTGCTGTACAGTAGGTTACAAGTGGGTCACTGTATAATGGATGGTATTAAATTTGAATTCAATGATATAATATCATTGTATAAGAAAAACGATTCTGAGCGGTGACGGTATGTCAGTCTATGTATAAGACATATTACATACATATCTATGGTATTAAACAAAAAATTGACCTATAATAGGTACCTATAATAAATTCCAAATTAATCATATCACAATATCCATTAGATACTTATAACGCGTTATACATCAACAAAAACCGTGATACTATCATAGATATAATATAATAGTACACTTTAGAAGTTTCAAGTACCCACGAATAATATTATTCAATCACAACAAAATAACTAAAATCGTAATTCTTGGTTTAAATATGAAATTTTGTCTAAATTTGAAATTAAAATGTCTGTAAAAAATAAGTGTGTTTATATATTTTTTAGATTTTTTGGTTACATTATGAATTATTTAAGAGAATCTTTGTTTTAATTTTTCAACTCTTAGTTATAAAAACTGAACATTTTATAATTTTTTAATTCCAACGATTGATAATTTTCGAGATTTTGATAAATTTTGTCAAAATTCGATGTTTAAATTCTTATAAAAAAAAATTGTGCCTATGTATTTTTAATATTTTTCAACTGATATTGTAACAATATATCAGGAGCCTTGTATTACATTTTTACACTTTTTGGCCCAACAGATAATACTTTATTGATATTTATAGAAAAAAAAACTAAAAAAAATTGAAATCTGTAAATGTCCATAAACAGCTCAAAAAGAGTCAAAATATTTTCAAAATTGTATGGTGTATAGGAAATGCTAATATAAACATTCAGTGAAAATTTCATGTGTCTACAGTTATTCGTTTTTGAATTACAACAAAATAAGGAAATCGCTACATGAGAAATCGAGTGAACATCCAATGTTGTAAAAATTTGAATTTCAAACGCTCATAAAAATTTAATTTGACATTCCGTTAGAGATTTTTTATTGATAAAGGTAGACAAACTTATGAGTAATCTTGTATTACATTTTCAAATCTTAGATTTAAAAAGAAAAATTTTTACGAATTCTTAACTCAAAATAATTCGCTAATTTTCGTGATTTTTCCATATTTTTACAATTTTTGAACTTTAAATGCCTATAAAAAAATTGTGACTAAGGATTTTTAATATTTTTCATCTGCCTTTGAAACAATATATTAGGAGCCTTCTATTAAATTTTCAAGCTTTCGCAACCAACAAATAAAATTTTATTGATATTTTTAGAAAAAAAACTAAAAAAAAATGGAAAATGAAAATGTCCCTAAACTGTTCAAAATAAATCAAAATATTTTGAAAATGTTATCGTGTATAGAAAATGCAAATATAAACAACCAGTGAAAATTTCATGTATATACGTTCATTTTTTTTAGAGTTACACCAATAACCAAAATCGATTTTTTGGAAAACCAATTTTGCGTAAAAATTCCCGTTTTTCCTTAATTTTTATGTTGTTTTTCCCGGCGCTCTTGAAAACTACTGGGAAATTTAAATTTTGACCTCCCCAATGCACCAACGATATTCACTTTAAAATCGAACAAGATACTGAAGTCGAAAATCGAAGCATTATTTCGACTACTTATCGTGTACACAGACACAAAAAAAATAAATATAAAAACATACATCATTGTAAAACCAATACATTCATCGCTCCGCTCAGAATCTAAAATAAAAATAAAAAATAAATAAACACACATCATTGTAAAATCAATACATTCATCGTTTCACTCAGAATCTAAAAAATTCAATTTACTTCTCTTAGGGCAACTCAAAAATTGATAACCGTAGACCTTTGAAATTTTCAACAGATATTTGTATTAGAATTTTCTATTAATTGTTACATTTTTAAAATATTTTGACTCTTTCTAATTAAAACCTAGTTACAGGTAATTTTTCAATTTTTTTTAAAGCTTGTATCGATAAAAATATTTTCACCAGTAAAGAGCTTTAAAATTTAATGCTAGCTTCCTCATAAGTTTCGTTAATAGAATTAAAAAAAAAAATTAAAGATACATTGACTCAATTATTTTTATTTTTTTATTTTTTTTGGTGTTTGTTAGGTTGGCGGGTGGGTAGAAGAGCTATCATAATGAAAGGGTTGGGGGAGAGACTGCAGTTCTACCAATAGGATATTGTCGCTTGTCCGATACTCCCGTAGTTGGTACTATCCTCTCGAATACCGATTTATGTAGTTCGGTAAGACACCACTACCACAGAGCAGGTACACAGATCATGTCTCTCCATTATGGTAAAATAACACGTAAACGACAGTGAGTGGTTAAATTATCTCAATAATTGGATAAGGGACTTCGGCGCATAACGATACAATAAATTTCAATCCAATTGCATGGTGGATATCAAAAGGACCTGTTAATTATTCGAAATATACAATTTATTGGAGAGTAAGTACCTTACGATTATTTGCAAATAAATAACTGAAATAAGTAGGTTTTTACACACAAGTTATAACGACAATTGTCACCGCTAGGGTTAAAAAAAACTGCAAACATAACATTACTGTTTCATTTTTTTTGTTTTCGTAACATATTAACTAAAACACGCCCATGTAACTATATATTGTGTGATAATGGTGGTAAATAATTGGCTACCAGATATAAAATTAATCTTTAAATGTAGCCACAGCATGCACCACTGCGGCACTACAAGACACCTTAAAAATCGTTACTTAACATTAAAAATAAATATATTATTGAAGTGAAACTTCTTTACAGAGGGTACGAAAAAAAAACGACGGTCCGGCACGGTCGTCCATCACCTCAATCAAGTTGAGATAGCGTGGTCATCAGTTCATGAAGTTACTAATCACGGTATAGCTGGTTCGATTCCGGTCTAGGAACAAAATTTTTTTTTTTCGTTTTTGTGTTTCACGGTCGACCTCGAGTCTCAACACCCGATCAGTTAAATTAATCTGAATCCACTTGCTTAGGATCTATAAGATCAGCCAGAATCACTTCATACATAAATTAATGTGTGGAATATGAACATAATTTATTGATATTATTAATATTTTTAACAAATTTTAACAGCTGACATTTTGGTGTTTAATTTATGAGAAGTAATTGTGTAAATATGTTTTAATGCAATCAATATTACAACTCCAAAAATAGTTAAATAAAAAAAGTTGTATATTCAATATTTTTACATTTTTTAATATTGTTACAGTTTATAAAAATGATCAGAACGAGCACTTCGATAATTATAGTACGATTGTTGATGTGTACTGTGATATTCGTACCACCATGTTGCAGAGGGTTCAAAGATCGTCGTATTCCAAATTTGTATGAACAAGGTAAATATAATAACTTGTGATTTTGTATTTCTATTTTTATAACATATTGATTGCAACTATTAAATAGTATGTGAATTGCATAGGTTTGGTAATAAACTCGACAAACTGGTACCTACAACTCGATATCTCCGATGTAAACGACGAAATTCAAAAAGCTGTTGAAAGAATTGAAAACAGGTATCGTTCAGAGGAAATTATACTATCGAATGTTAGTGGTGTGATAATTGGAAGCCCGGTTCATGGACAACTAATCAATTCCATGCCTTCCAAAGATGGACATTCAGGATCTAAAAATGCTGAAATTATATTGGAAGTTACGCGAAGTTTGAAGAATACATATTGTCTAAAGTACCTATATAAGCATAAAATTAATATCTCAATGAAAATAATATACTATACATGTTTCATAATAATAATACGCATAAATTAAATTATCATTTCAGGCACGGGTTAAGTGATATACAATGTGCCAAAGATTTAACCAAGGTGAATTTGACTGGGACAACATTAGGTGAGATGTGTATGCCCGAGTATTACAGCAACAATTCGTGCATCGGGTACGAGTATAATTATCGTAGTTTTGACGGATCTTGTAACAACCTGAAACATAAATATTTGGGAAAGGCAAACACACCTTATAAACGTTTGCTGTTTCCAGTCTACACAGATGGTAATATTTCTTAATTTCTTGATGGTGGGATTCACCCGTAACCTATAAGTATATATTTATTTTTTTATTAAAAACATTAAGATATTCATACCACTCTTCTAACTAGCCCGTCATCCCTGATAAATAAAAATAACGTATTTGTATTTACATTCATGCTGATCTAATGCTGTGATTTCATTAATCGATCACACAGGTGTTTACGAAATGCCAAATAATTACGAAGAAATGCTGCCTAATCCTAGATTAGTGAGTACAAGTTTTGTAAAAGACGAGAACTCGTCTGACCACAAAAAAACGATGATGATGGCGTACTGGGCGATGTTCATAGGCCACGATCTATCACACACAGCAGTTTCTACCATGGGTATACACATTAAACACATAACTGTATATAAATTGATTTATTTTAATTAATGTAAGCGTACGTATATTAATCCCAAAGGGAAAGATAAAAGATTTGTAAATTGCTGTGATAAGGACAAAAGTATTCAATCTTCTCTGATCAAAAACATAAGATCCTGCAAGCCCATATTTATACCGAATGATGATAGGTTTTTTAAAACGGATCAGTTTGATTGCATGAACTACGTGCGTTCGCGGCCAGCGGTGCGTTCTGATTGTACATTTGGACCTATGGAACAAGTAACAGACATATTAAATAATAACATATTGATATACTTATATTATATTTTTATTATAATAAAAATAATCACACTTACCGAAGCCAATTTGAAGGAAGGGCTCTGATGGTGTCTTGTATAGGCCAAGTCCATATAAAAACGTATACAGAAAAACGCGTGCAAATATTTTCAGCATTCCAGTGTTTAGAACTGACGCTGTTAATTCACAAAAACCACAGAAACTAATGGAATATTTGAGCATTTGTAGTCACTATTTAAGAAGTACTTATGTTTTACAGATGAATCAAGCTACCCATTATTTAGACGCATCTATGATATATGGTACGACGGAACAACAGACGTTGTCGTTGAGAGAAATGTGGCTCGGCCAACTGTCGGTAGAAAGCATATATAAATATAAGGTACACAATAACATCACTCTGGAAAACACCGATACGAACGTTTGTCAGAACGGTTCCGGTACGTGTTTTATGATGGGCGACATTCGAGGAAACGCGTTCCCACAACTTAGTATCATGTACCTAATGTGGATGTATGAACACAACCGGAACGCTCGATTACTGTATAAAGAAAGACCTAACATGACTGACGATCAACTTTTCTGGGAGGCCAGGAAAATCGTGACGGCGTGCATTCAGCACATCACGTACAACGAGTGGCTGCCGGCACTGCTTGGCGTTAACTACACCAAGGAAAACGGTTTAGGAGTGGAAGGCAGAACCACGTATGACGAGACTGCCGACCCGACAGTAAGCAACAGCTTCGCGACCGCGATACTGCCGTTTGCAAATTCCATGATCACCGATTTAATTAGGTTAGACATATACATCATACAATATTATTGTCATCAATGGCGTGTCCAGGATCCAAATAGGGGGGTGGGAGGCGATGTCTTAAGTAATAATACACCAAATTCATTGTGGAGGTAGTATCATGACACAAATAAGGGGATTTATTTATGAGCCAATAGGGAGGGGATATAACTCTTAACCTCCACCCCCTAGGCACACCACTGATTTTCAACATTATAATTTTATTATCATGTATGCGCATAGGCGCAATTTCAACATAAAAACTGAGGGTGCTTAAGCTCTGCATTTCCTGGGTATTTAAATTAAATTATACCTATGAGGCACTTATGACTTTTTTGAGAAAAAATGGTTTTATGACAATTTAACATTGAATACTTATAGTGCATTAGGTACATTTTATAAAAATTAACACAATAGTAAATTTTAATTTATTAAAAATTTAAAACAAATTATTTATATTTTATTCAAAAAATATGACAAATAAATATTAGTGTACGAGGGGGTAACAGACAGACTTGACAAAAAAAAAAAAAAATGAAGCTACCTACTTAAATGTGTGACAAAAATTGTTAAAATTATAACAAAACATTATAAATATTGATTAGAACAAAAGTTATTCCAAAAGTCAGTTATATCTGTACCTACTATATTATATAATTCGGCATACACAATCACACAGGCTGTCGGAAACTTGGAACTCCAGTGAACACCAACTGACAAGTAATTCGTATATCGTAATTATGTTTTTGTCCGAATTAGATGTGGGCACGGGAATGTTTCTATTAGTAAATACTCGAGATACTATAAATTGTCGTAGAGCTGAGTCGCTGCTGAACGTAATAACACTGATAATAATATAACCGACCACAACGACCGGGCTTAGTAGAAACATTGGAAAATAATGATTTATATTCTAAATAGATTTTAATTCGATAAAATTACAATTGTCGAGTTCATTGTTTCATTCATTATACTCTGATACCCTCATGTCTGATGATAAACTGTTTTTGGTCTTTTTTTTTTGTAAAGAGAAGTTTTGATACATAAACACATATTTATTAGATGGTGCTAATTTTAAAATTGGGGGTGCTAATACCCCCTAAGCCCCCCCCCCTATTTGCGCCTATGTGTATGCGTGTAGGTTATGTCATGGTGTCAGTTTTTAAAATAGACATGAACAATCGTCGCTCTTCAAAAATATTCCTTTTAAAATTTAAGATCAATACGTGAGTGAAAAAATATTGTCACCTTATTTTCACCCCTGTGAAATTGTTAGCGGTTTTTGGTATTTAAAAAGTGACTAAAACATTTTTTATTATTTTCTGATAATAAAATGTCTGCAAGATACTACCCTATATTGAACCAATAGGCCAGTGGCGTAAATTGGGTCCAATTTCTGGTGGTGCAGAGGCATATTCTTAACCTATAATTTCCAACACAAAAATAATCCAACTTTCTAAGTAAAATCCTTCCTAACAAAAAAAAACTATATATTTATCCATACATTTTGTCAACATTTGAACTTCAAATGCATATAAAAAAAAATTGTGGCTATGTATTTTTAATATTTTTCAACGCTATTGTAACAATATATCAGGAGCCTTCCATTAAATTTTCACGCTTTTTACCCAACAAATAAAATTTTATTGATATTTATAGAAAAAAAAAACTAAAAAAACTATAAAAATGACAATGTCCGGAAACAGCTCAAAGAGAGTTAAAATATTTTCAAAACTTTGTGGTGTATAGAAAATTAAAATATAAATATATAAATTTTCATGTATTTACAGTTATTTGTTTGAATAACAACAAATTAACAAAATCGCTACATGAGAAATCTAGTGAATATCCAATCTTGTAAAAATATGATTTTCAAATGCTCATAAAAATTTAATTTGATTTACTTGTGGACATTTTTTTTTTTGATAAAGGCGTATACAAACTTATGAATAATCTTATATTACATTTTAAAATCTTAAATTTAAAAAGAAACATTTTTATGATTTTTTCAACTCAAATTATATTGTTAATTTTCGTGATTTTTCTGTATTTTGTCAAGATTTGAACTTTAAATGCTTATAAAAAAAACTGTGACTAAGGATTTTTAATAATTTTCTAATGTCATTGTAACAATATAGTTGGAGCCTTGTATTAAATGTCCAAGCTTTTTTACCCAACCAGTGAATATTTCAATTATATATGTATATGTTCATTTGTTTGGTCAAAAACCAAAATCGATTTTGTCGAAAACCGATTTCGGGTATTAATTCCTGTTTTTCCTTAATTTTTATGTTGTTTTTCCTGGCGCTTATGAAACCTGTAGAGAATTTTAAAATTTGATTCAATACGACGTCTAGCTGTCATCTGACATTTGACTTTTGAGAATTGAATGAACATTGATCCAGTGATAACACACTATTTTGGCGGTAGAATGTTGATAGCAATATAATTTTACCATATTATACGTCTATTCTGTGCACGATTAAAGATATAATTTAAAAAAATATCTTTAATCGTGATTCTGTGATACTGCCATAATAAAATACAAAATTCTGTGGATAGTGGTTACCATAGATAATAATCTAACTATTTATGGGGGTTGTACGATATTTTAGAATATAGATAGGGTAATAATTTAAATGATAATGTCTAATACATGCACTAAAATAACTATTTTGTACCTCTTTATAAATTATATATTTCAATGATTTTCTGGTGGTGCAAAAACATACCTTTGCACCACCACATTTTAGATGTGGTGGTGCAAGTGCTGCATTTGCACCACCCAGTTTACGCCACTGCTTAGGTATTTCAGTACCTACAAGCATTTAATTTGAGTTTAATTGCAAATTTACAAAATAAGGAAAATACTCTTATCTTCAAATATTCTTACAAAAAAAACCTATATTGCTTCACCTTTCAATACAAGATATTTAATTTATATCATAGATCAGAATTCTACCAAGAATTATTTAAAGATGATAGGTCTTGGTACATATTATATAATTATATAATATAGGAACATACATTGACGTTTGAAAAATTGAAATAATTAATCTGTATTTTGTATACGTAAGATTATGCTTACTTATAATTTTTGTTCATGTTTTTGTTTAGTGTTTACGATACATTTTACAACTCATATTCTAGAGCGAAAACCATAACTGATGTACATTTAAATCACGGAAACTTAAAAGAAAATTACAACCGACCGCTTATGGTGGAGGACTTTATGAATTATAATAGGATTCTAAATGGACTATTTATGCAGCCTACCCAAAAAGTTGATATGTTGTTTACACAAACAGTAAGTTTTTGAAATACAATCAATATATAATTTTTGTTTTTTTATAGCATCAATGACGATGACTTCAATATAATAGGCAATTTTACATAGATATATTTTTATTTTTAAATAATTTTTATAGATGACAAATTACTTGTATAGTATTGATCCAAATAATTCGTATGGAATGGACATTCTCAGTTTGGACATACAACGAAGCCGTGATCATGGTATTCCAAGCTACATGCAATTTAGAAAATATTGTGGATTAAAAGACATAGAAAACATACAAGATTTGTCTGAAATAATGGTGGAAGGTGTAAGTTTGAAAAAAATTTGAATTTTATAAATAATAATAATATGACTACTGTACTGATTAGTGATTAACTACTTTCTTTCTGCATGTTGTATTTAGTCAGCTGATAGATTATTGAAGATATACAAAACTTGGAACGATATAGATCTGTTGGTTGGTGCATTGTTGGAAAAACACGTTGACGACGCAATGGTTGGCCCTACGATGAGGTGTATCATCAGGGAACAATTTGTGAGAACAAGAATTGCAGATAGATATTTTTATGACGTACCAGGAGTATTCTCTGATTGTTAGTATAACTAAATTATTTTTAATGAATGCACAGCATTTTAACTAACATATTTTTAATTTAAGATCAACTTGAGGATATCAAACGAGTGACGATGGCCAGAATTGTATGTAATAACTTTAAATCAATTCATGGAGAAATGGTAACACTAAAAATCTTTTCGAGACCTGAGGTATTTGATAGTTCATTACTTCATCACTGTGATCCGCTATTAATTCCGGAAATTGACCATTGGAGTTGGTTTGATACATTTGAGTAACAATAAAAAAAGTCTTTTTTTTATAAGAAAATAATTTCAAGGGGTAAAACATAATACTATTACATTATATGAATATATAGTCTTAATATTTTGTTTTATATACATTACCTACGTACATTTATAAAATATAAATACATTATGAATATCTTTCATTGGGATTACAAGACAATTTTTTGGGATGAATCAAATCTAAAAATTAATTGTACACTTTTGAATATTAAATGTTTTTTATAATATCGTACTGATATAAATAAGTTTTTTTTTATCATTCTTCGCCTTTTTGTTTATCCAATATGATTCACGATGCTCCGGCTTACAATACCACATTATAACCAGTATGCAAGGCTGGGCAAGTTAACTATTTTTTTTAACTCGTTAAGTTAAGTTAATATAGAAAAATGTAAGTTAAGTTTAAAGTTAAAAGTTAACTTCATTTTTTTTAACTTGTAAAAGTTACAAGTTAATTAGAAAATAAAAGTAACTTAACTTAGTTAAAAATAAGTTACTTTTTTTTTAAAATAAAATTAACAATTATACCTACCTACCTTTTTTAAAGCTAACAAATAACATAATAATTCAATAAATCAAAAAATGTCTTACAAAATTTGAATAAATGTTTGTAATAAAATTAGTTACTGTAGGTACTTATATTAATTTTGTGTATTATACTTTAATTAGGTAAATAGTAAATACTACGGGTATTATTTACATCGACGGGCCAAGTTATCACCGTAATTCTATGAATGAATAAAAATATAATTAAGTAATGATATTAATAATGATTAGGTATAGGTTAGGTGATATGTCGTGTATGGGATAGGTACTGAGTAAATTGTTATATTTTTCTTTGACGCGGTTAGAGTCATCTCTATGATATTTCCCTCTAAAAATATAGTTATAAAATATTTTCTGTGAATATGCAATGTAAAAACTTACTATTATTATTATAAATTATTATTTAATAAAATATATTTAATATTTCGGGTTTTTTTTTATGTAATTAATTTTACAAAATTGAATTAATTTTAAATAATATGTGGTTTGGGAAAAAATTAACTTAACGTGCCAATAAAATTAATTAACTCGTTAAGTTACTGAATAACATGGGGAAAAATGTAAATCGTTAAGTTAGAAGTTACTTCTAAAAAAAAAAGTAACTCGTTAATTAACTTAGTTAAGAGTAACTTAACTTTTTAACTTAAATTTAACTTATTAACTCGTTAATGCCCAGCCTTGCCAGTATGACTCACTGACTGTTTATTCCCATTCATCCCAGTACTTAAATAAATATTATATTTAAAATGTATTAATGTTGACAAAACAATAATACCTAAATTAGTTTTTTAAAATATAAGTTTTATTCTTTTTTTATTTTAAAAATATGACAACATTGATTAACCATTTGTTGATCTTTTTACAGTATGCATTATGAAATACTTAATTATAAATATTTTAAATATTAATTATAAGTTTAATTTAAATATATTTAATTAATTTATTATTATATTTACAACACATGATATGGATAATGAAATGTTTTGAAATATTTTACTATTCTAGATTTTAACCAAGCCTTGTCAGCGAACAACAACCCTTTTCACAAAATTACAGTCCTTATAAATTCCTCAAAATTTTGAGTTTTAATTGAAAATTAACTTAGTCACATGCATGACTGGCATAATTTTAACTATATTAACTCTGAAGTCGGTACTCACTCTCTATGAGTTACACCAATAGATAGTTATAATTTTATATTGATTTTATTTGAAAACAAATGTACAATATTCTAAGCTTGTTAATAAATTGTGAGATTTCAGCCTTTTTAGTGGCCTACTTTCCACTCAACACGTAAGGGTAACACTTATGCATTGACCCATGGACCGCATTGCGTGTTATCCTTAGATATAAACTGGTGGAGACCATGGGTTTTGTACAGGCAAGTTAAAATGATTTAACTAGATAAATAATAATAGAGAGAAAATAAAGGTGATACTTTAAGTTATAATAATAAAAGAATAAAATTGAGTTTAAGGCAATTATCATTGTTTTTGTATTTTACAGGTCGGTACCATAGTAAATAATTATTTTGGGCAAAACAATATAGGTAATAACTAATAATTATAATAGATTTTGTCTCACCGAAATGCGAATACTACTAAAAACAATTATATAGTTGACAATCAATATTGTCATAATAATTTTTGTGTGAGATATGACCAGTGTTCTGATTAGATAAGTACTTTTTTATCTAGATAAAAATAAAGATAATCTAGCTGATAGTTATAAAAGATAACTTAATTCATATTTATCTAGATAAAGATAAAGATAAATACTTTTTATCTAGATAGAAAAAAAATATACAATTATTTTTAAAATGGTTTTAAATTTAGATATATTTTAGTTGGGCACTAGGAACATATTAAAAGAGAGTGATTGGGGGCAATGTCCGGAGACGTGACCGGCACAACGTAAGGCAAAGGCACAGTCAGCGGTCAGGAAAATAACAGTCTACTGCCTGCGACGTTGTTCAGCCGTCGGTGAATCATTTGAGCTTTTGGGGACTATAATAATAATAAAACTTTCAAAATTCCGCAAAGTTACAAAATATTATTAAATATTAATTAACAAGAGTATTCTTCTAATTACCTACTTACTTCTACACATATGCACATGTATATAAATGCGCAAACGAACAAGCTATAAAATCTGGTATCCGGACATTTCCCCCCCTGAAATTTCCCCCCCCGGCTGTTAGTAGGACATTTTCCCCCTGATAAATTTTTGGATGCGGACATTCCCCCCCCCGTTTTTTTTTTTGTTTTTTTTTTAATTTTAATTATTTACCTTTGAATATAAAATTATTATTTTTAACACATATTTTTTAGCTTTTGTTTACATTTATTTTTTTATTTTTGTAAAAACTGTACGTTAACTACAAAATCTTTAATCTTAATTAAATAAAAAAATAATTAATATTATTTAAAACAAGTTAAGTAAAAATATAATTGTGAATAAAAGATTGTCTAAATAATATAATATAGTATACAATACAGCCGTCCAAAAAATCCGGCATAAAAATAAAAAAGATTGTATAAACAAAATACAAAGAATTCGTTTGATAAATTTGACGTTTCTATTGCGAAAAGTCTGGAAGGAGTTCTTACACTACCTTTATAATTTAAAGACAATTTTTAAATCTCCTCTGTCTGTTTGAAGAATTCGTATTTTATCCATGACCACAAAAAAATTTAAAACAAGAATATTTATTTTAAAACGTATACAACCACTAAACCATTACTAAACTGCTTTGAACAGTTTTGATATAAAATATTGACTCAATGCTCATGACGATGTAAGATTGTATAAGAATGTTATGTTAATAGTCAGAGTAATTGACTGGGCTATTTACACAATTTTAGATTTAAATGTTACCCATCTAATTCAATATTAGTATAATATACTATTTTACTTTTATTTAAAACTATATATTTACTTAACTTGGAGGTACCTACATAATTTGTTATCGTCTAATTAAAACAAAAAAAATAACATTAATTATTTAATTAGGTATTATGATTTAATATAATGTAATTGGTATAGGTAATAGGCAAGTATAAATACAAAATACCTATATTATACTAATAATAAAAATAAATAATGCAGACATGGTTGTAAATGAATAATAAATGGAAATGTAGACTGTACAATAAAACATAGGTACCTAACATAAATAAAATATTTATTTAAATTTGATATCGATCAACATTTTTCTCGATTTTGTCTCCTCAAAACTTTGTATAACAGATAACTGTATAAAAATCAATTTCTACAGTTTTTTCGTTTCTAAAGATAAAATCGATAATGCCAAACGTTCATTAGCCATAGTAAATCGCAAGTATGTTTTTATGAGTTTTAATTTGGATAAACTCTGCTCACCACTAGCTACTGTTGTTTATAAAGTTTAATTTTTATTTAGGTATACGTCTAAGTGGTGTCTTGCACAAGGTACATAATAAGTCAATGATTGTTTTCGGCAAAACTATTTTGTTTTAACACAAATTTAAGTCACTTGTACGACATATTAAAACCCTGTAAAACAACGCTATTTTTACGAATTCCTTCGGTCTGAAATCGACGGTTTAAACAACTAAACATATAATTTATTTAAATGCCTAGTAAATTTTTCAGTTTCATGGGAATCTTTGCAGATTCTTTGTTCACTTTTCCTTATTTCTTTAATCGTGGTATGTCTTTTCGCGATGAACAAACTTCATAATAATAATATATAAATATGCCTTATCAGGTTATGTTAGTTATTGTATCAAAAATGAATAAATATTAAATAGATATTGATAACAATTGATAACAATCATTTTATAGAGATATAATACATTTATTATATTATCATAAATTATATTGATAACATAATATGATATCAGTAAGTTATTTACTATTTAGTATTTAGTATTTACAAAAACCACAAGGGAAAAGTCAAGTAGTCGATTGAATTTGACACAGGTTTCAATACTATAGGACTATACTAAAATTAGTTTTTATATTCAAACGCTCAAAACTCTACATTTTTAGCAGTAGCCAGTATTTTCAATTTGTTAATTCCACATCAATTATTGGAATGCATTGTTGTAAGTATATATTAAGCTTAATTACAGAGCAGGTAGTTTATTGTTCAAGTAGTTTAATTTATTTATTAATTTAAAACAAAATACGACAAAAGATCAAAGAATTGTTGGAATTCTATATTTTGCTTTTGATGAAGTATATTAAGATTATTTAACTTTTTAACGAACCTAAAATTTGTGGCTAATTAATTACAGTGAAATCTAACTTGGGGAACCTTTCTCAACAGACAAAATGATAAAGTCCTGATTAAAAGATAGTTATCATAGTGTAATAACCTGTCTATAGTTGATCCTTTATATTACGGATACGGACAGTAATATTTCTCCCGATATCTTGATAACGTACAACAATATCTTAGT